TCCAGTGTTCATTGAGTCCTTCGGCTGGCGGTTGAACTGACAGGCGATCGGAGAGCTCCGCCTCGAAAGCCGATTTACATGAATTACTGACACTGTATCGCGGGTATCTGTTGTCGGTGGTTTTTTTTCGGTTGTTTGCCAGGCGTAAGGAGAACTTGGCTCGTAACAAGGCGTGGTCTGTGTCCACAGCTGTTGACCAGTAAGAGTGGCAGTCTTGAATTGATCCCCTCCAGCGGTAACTGATGGCGATGTGGTCGATTTGGGTTTTTTGAGACGTACAGCGCACAATCGGCTACTGACTGGAATCCAGTCAAGAAGCGAGCGCTCAATCTTGGCACTTAGCGCAATCCCGACACCAGCAACACCGCGAGCTTCGGATGCCGAATCGCCTGACACACGAAGGGTGAAGCGTGAGGTTGAGGTTGGTTCAGAATGCATAAGGCGGACATTGGTCGGGCCTATATGGAGGGAGGCAAAGAAAGTGAACCACAGTAGTCACTGCAGAGTAAAAAACCTAACTATGCTTACACGCATTGTGATCTAGTAAAAAGTGACAAACAGAACCCCACTGTTGTCGGTTCGTTGCCATAGCCTCCAACCGACCAGTAACAATCTTTCGGACCCTAGTTTGGAAGCCGAGATAAACCTTCCCTTCCTAATCGCGCTGTGCGTTTCTTCGTTCCTCGTCTCCACGCCGTCTGTTGACCTCTACGTAATCTGTTCCAACCTGTCAACAACGCGCAATGTGGTAGACGGCAACTGGGCATTCGCAATACATGTCCTATCCACCGGAGTCTACTAATCTGAATTCTACGTGATGACCTATTTTCCACCTAATCATTACCAAATACTCGTCAGCGTATCTCAGTTGCTTACACGCTTGCTCCATCGAACGCGCGCTAAACTAGGTAATCATTGACAGTCGCAGACTTCTTGACGATCAGTGTCTCTCAAACGCAACTGTAGAGCAGAGCTGACCGCACAATGGCGCCCACTTATCCCTATCCACCCCGCTGGATGCAATGGGCAGCGCGGTCCTGGTTATCCTGCGCAACGACCGATGCATTATGAAATTATTTTTATTTTTGTTTCAGAACCTGCAACTTATTTAATCGTGAACTGCTACTTGTCTAGTGGAATGATGTGGGTTGGAAGAAGGAGCAAAGAGAGAGTTTGGTATGGAAGACTTATTACTACCTAACTTGCTGGATTTTAATGGACAGCTCAGTCTTAATTATTCCACCCAACGACAAGGACAATATGGAATTACTTTCAGTTTATGATACTTGGAGCTTTACGGATGGGTACTACTAGATAGTCCAACTACTAAGCACGAGAATAAATTAAGTTATCAAACAAAGCCGTCAGTTCTGACAAGCACTTGACCGCAAGACAGCGGTTAGACCAAAGTGGAGAACCATTCATAAACAAGACAATTTTGTGTTAACCCAATTATGTGTAATAAAGATGCATTGCACGTGTCTGGTGGGGTAACCGGACTAGAAATGCTGAGTTAGGCGTAGAGTTTTCAGGCAGTCGCGGTCGTCCACTAAGCAAGTGATCGACCTCCATAGATTACGCTGGTTGGGACATGTGTTACGTATGTCGCCAGATAGGTTGCCACGGCGAACGATGTTTGCCAAGGCTAGTAGCGATTGGAAAAAGATAAAGGGGGGTCAAACTAAGACCTGGCATGAGGATATGAAAACCCTAACCAGGAAACTAGGTCACACAGGCCCCGTTAGGCTCCCTGGCTGGGGATCTCGGGATGATGGTCACCGTTGGTTAGCTACACTGAGTGATATGGCAGGGTGGCTGGGGACCTCGGGATGATCGTAACCGATGGTTAGAGACACTAAGTGATATGGCTGGGTGTCGCCAACAGTGGCGTTCATGCATCCACTCGTTATTCTCCCAACACCACTATATGAATTCCCCATCTTCCGCTTGAATTTGCTTCGACATTCCAATCTTCATTTTGCTCTTTATCCAAATGGGCAACCACAACGGGCGCACGAAAGTGCATGGTTAATGGTTGTAAAAACTGAACTGAATATTGATGCCAATCGTCCGCCAGCAGAGAGCACTGAGATGCATTAGGCTGCCTCAAAATCTCTGTTTATGCAGACACTAGAAAATCTCTAGCGTTTTGTCCTTTTTAAGATTACTGTACCACGATTTGCCTGGAACACAGTGTGTCCTCAGACAATTGTGAAATATAATAATTATTTTCATCCTTGTCTCGTCATTTATTCAAGTGAGTTATAATTCACATTAAAGTGAAATTTATTCCAAAAAATGATCTAGATATGTTCCGTACACTTCTGACTCCAGACTGTGTGACAAACTAATCATGGTAAAATAATCTTTATAAAAAAGAAAACGTTCCATGACTTGCATGTGGGCCAAATACTGCCAGGTTGTCCAGGCCAATGCAGGTGAATCAACAACCACAGCCTTCGGTTAGTCAAAGCCTGACCACAAGGCAGCGGGGCAGTGTGAAAACCCCAGTCAAGTGGGAGTCGGTGTCCAGTTAATCGGATAATACGCCGTTTGGACGAGGTCAAACGTCTAAGGTGCCCAACACACCTTGATACCTAATTGAGTCGGTCACCACCGCCACCGTATGTAGTTCGTACACCTCTTGGTTGATTTGGAATAAGGATTTTTGGCCAACTCCCGTAGGTAAGCTACCAGTGATCCACCAACCGGGTGATAGCCCCAGATTTCGGCTATTCGTCCTCTCACTTTGGTGGGAAAACACCGCCACGAGAAGGCAGTGAGTAGGGTATCCTTGGCAGAGGCTATCTAAGACGCTTGGTCGTATGGGAGCATTTCGCGAGGTGCGGGGAAAAGGTGACCGGTCGCAACCCCAGACACTGCCCCGACCAGACTAAGGCTTTCGGAGGCCTGATCTAGAAGTAACTGTATGCTGATCATAGCCTTAACTTCTGACTCTGCAATAGATCTCAGCATATCATGAGTTTCCACCGTATACGTTTGAGAAAAATCCATTGAAATGTAACTTTAACTTGCAGGGACGGTGAGCACTTTTAGTCTTTACAACCACTCAATTCCGGTGGCTTTGGTTGTTGTCTCTCAGTTGACCAAGATTGGAATAATCAAATTAATGACGGGGTGAAAAAAATCTGTGGGGACTAAGGCTGCAGGAAAATGATTAATGCACGAGCGCCACTGTTTGCGACAGTCACCAACTCCAACCATTCATTACGATGATCCCGATGTCTCTAGCCAGGAAGATTAACGTGGCCTATGTGACTAATTCTCCTGATCAGTTTTCATACCCACATGCCGGGTCTGAGTTTCAGCACTTTACGTTCTCTACTTAACGCTTACCTTGACAAACAGCACCCGTCGTGTTAATGTATTTGGCGACAGGCGCGGCATGTGTCTCAAACAACGCGGTCTGAGGTGGACCAGATGCTCCATTGGACGACCGAGACCACCTAAAACTCTGCGTCTAACTTTATCAGTTCTTTTCTAACTTCTCAACTGTACTCGTGCAATGCGACGTAGACAGCGGTGTTAGAACACCGATTGTCTAACATCCTGCTTTCGTATTGGCCGTTTCTGCATCGTATAGCAGAACTGTTCTAACTACTGCAGCATACACTCAACTCTTTACAGAGGATACGGCTCTTTCAAGAATTAAATAAATTAAATAGAAACGGACAGGGCAACCCTGACGAACACCAGTTTCTGTGGTGAACTCGGGCGAAAATGGGCCACAAGCCCGGAATCGGCTTATGCTAGTATTACAAGGGGATCGTTATATCGAAATAAACTTCGGTGACGTAAGTATCCCCTTTAAGGAAAGGCAGCACCAAATTTTAGAGAGGCAGACTGAGTCGAAAGCCACGTTCAGAAAAGCTGAATCTCTAAATAAAACAGAAATCCACGGGGTACATAGGAGAGTACCGTCCTGAGCTGACGACAGCTGATACGTTGTACCGATATGGTATGTCAATACTGCGCGCATACGGCAACAAAAAGCACTGAATAGCTGTTTCGTAATTGTTGGGACTCATCGGCAATACAGACTGCTTTTGTATCCCTGTAAGGACTCGAACCATAGCCCCGAGCTATGCGGCCGACGGACAACAATTAGGAGCACGATTGTCTGAATTACATATGTTATTGTTATAATCTCATGCGAATTCACAGACATCAAGTGTGTGTATCGTTAGCCAGGTGAGTCAAAAATCCTAGGGAGTACATTTATTTTTCTCATTTCGGTTATCTGGTTGTGAGTACACAGACCTTGTGTCTGTAAGTTTGCATGGGATCAAAACAGTAACGTATGTAACCCAAATAATCGTACATTTTCTTGTTGTGCGTCGGTCTCGCAGCTCAGGAATAAGTATTTCGAATCCCAGTCCGAAAGTTCGCGGATTCAGTTCCCACAGCAACAGAAAAACAGCAGACATTATTAAGAAGATCCCGAAAAGAACGAAACAGCTGCCCAACGAATGCTGTTGACTTTCGCACATATCACTGACAACTAGAGCACCAAAATGTGAAGAATAAGTACACTCTCAACGGGTTGAAACCTGGACCAGAACTACAATATGCATACCTGTATCCGTGATCCCGGGTGGCACTGAGACCAGAATATGAAATAATTTATTCTCAAATATCCGAAAGTACAGCCAACTACGGTCGTCGATCTACGACGGAAATGAAGTGGCCTTCTTTATGCACACAAATCTTTCAGTAGTGATCATCGTCTCTTTTGAATACAGCACTGTGAACAAAACTACAGCACTCACAAGCACGGTGAACGTTTTTATGGGTTGAACAAAACCTATTGGTTACAAGAAGTCTCAATAAAGATAAACGTGCATACACCTTACAAGCACGAGTGCAAGATATGTACAAAATACAGATTAAGTGTCACTGGTCCATAACTTGATCGTTTTGTCTCCTTCAAGCGACGCTGAGGCGATCATATTGATTTGTGGATGGCAGGCAGTGCACAGAACGACATCTGCAAGCAATAGATTTTACTCGAATATATTTTGAACACATACCTGTATGACCCTCGAGTTTCTGAACGACCTCTTTTGTCTGTAAGTTCCAAAGGTATACCATATTGTCTTCGGAACCCGATACAATCCACTGAATAAGTTGAATAAGTTTGAAATTAGGACTTACCTTTCCACCGGTAACCGAGAAGTTAGCGAAAATGCAATATTTCTCGTTTTTGTGTCCGTTGTATACTTTCAAGCACCTGCCTTTACTGTAGTCCCATAATTTTAAACAGCTACAGAAATATACAACAATTTTTACGCAGAAGAATCGTACCTATCGAGCGTGGCAGCAAGGATATATTTACCATTTGGTGAGAACTTGACAAAAGAAACCGGGGGATTATCGTCGTCTGGAAGTAAAATATAATAGCCATCGTCAATCAAGGCTTCTTACCGATCAGGGTTTTCAGACATTGACCGGAACCAGTGTCCCAGATTCGACTAAAATGAAGCCGAATTTGAAAAAAAAACTTACCAAAGGCCGTCATAACTGCTGGAAGCTATCAAAGACCCATCCCTATTAAAGTGCACAGCAGTAACGGGGTCTGAGTGAGCAGGGAGGGTACGAATGCATCGGCCAGTTTTTACATCCCATAGTTTCACGCTTTCGTCAAACTGAAAATTGATCTTGACCAAAATTCAAAATAGATTACCGATCCGGAGACAATAAGATTCGATTGCGGATTGAAGTTGCAACAGAATGCATAGTTGCTGTGGCCTTTGAGTGTCTTTAAGCATTTTCCTGTTGTCAGGTCCCAAAGTTTGAGGGTTTTATCGTCCGAGGAACTGCATAAAAACCTTGAATCGTAAGACCACGACACGTCCGAAATACCCTAAAATCGTAGCATTCTCCATAGAAAAAATGAAAGTCAAACTAACTAATTTGTGTCCAGCAATAGATTTCTCAAATTTTCCGTCATATGCATTCCATATCTTGATCAACTTATCAGCAGCTGGCTGATAAAGCAAGGGTTGAAGTCGATCAACTTACAAGAACTAGCCAACCACTGACCGTTTTCGCTGAATTTCACAGACGACACCGATTTTGTATGACCCGACAACGTAAATTTTAGGGTATAGTTCGGAATCTGGCGTACTGTGGGATTCAGGGAAATCATACTAACCTGTGACTGCGTACTCATTTTTGCATTTTATTCGAAGACAGGCTTTCACTAAAGAAAAGAAAAAAATTTAAATGCCAGTTCGTACGCGAGGAATATTTTTCACTATGAGGTTTATGGTAAGGGATATGAATTTCGACCGAATATTGCATCGTTTTGTCCAATGCAAAGAGATATGAAATGAGGTAACCGCTAACATCACCACAATCTTCAGTCATCATCATTGTGCAGCGTAATACAGTGAAACGAACTTCACTGATCGCTGTCAAATTCATATTGCATACAAGGTAAGCGAGAATGCGTAAGGAGGATAGAGATTGGACTTACATTTAGGGACGGGAAAAGAAAGCGAATCTTTACGGTCAACACATAGAGTACACAGTCCAATGTGCATACATACTATTTCAAGCAGTCTGGTTTGATAAAAAGTGACAGCATGATCGCCACTGCTGTCGGTTCGCAGTCATGACCTTTAGTGTTATCAACCATCCACTGACGGAGTGTTCTGAACCCCAACCCGGAATATGAAAGACAACTACTCTACGTAATCATTCTGTGCATTTCTTTATGCCTCGTCTTCACGTCGTCTGCTGGCCTCCATGTAGCTTTCACCAGCCTGTAACAGCGAATAAGGCACGCTGCGGTAGGCGACTATCTGACTAAAATGACCTACTGAGCTGGATTCGATGAGATAGCAAATTCTCGTTCGAGAAATTCCCAAACACTCGACGACTTACGTCGTCGTCTGCCATACTACGTAAGCATTGATCGTCCAAAGGCACTAGGTGACGGATGCCTTCTACCCACAAAGATCTCACAACCGTAAAGCAGAACCGATCGTACAGTGGCGCAGTATGCGCGACCTTTCAACTTCAGTGAAACGTCACGTCGCGCCACAGGTGTTTAAGTCTTGCGTACGCTGCTCGAGTCTTGGAAATGCAGGCGGTTGTCTCCTTTGATGCATTACCGTTGTTGGTCACACAGCTACCAGATTAAGAGAGGCAGTCAACTTCAGCTTATTCCTGATCGTCTAGTTTCAGAACAGAACTCGGCGACACCCAGTGTTGTAGCATCACTTTGCACTTTGAAGGCGCAAAGCACATGCCGAACGGAGCGACAGAACTTGCCAATCTGTCAAGTGCTCTTTGTGCATCCTCCGTACATTCGAACAAGCAAACGATGTCGTGAGCGTACTCTGAATTTCTTTCTCTTTAATCCTACTTTCAATCTTTCCTGTCTTTCTCCCAATGTTCATCCAAGTGGGCAGCCAAAAGACAGCAACCGAAACCGGCGCACGATAGTGCATGGTTAATGGTTGCACAAACTGGACTGAACTGAATCGCACAGCTTTTCTCCACCTGCTCATTCAATACCTATGTTTTGGAGACCACTTCGAGCGTTCTACAGAATTTCGTCTACGATGAAATTGAAAAAGAAATGAGTCATTCTTAACGAACACCACTTCTGCTTTCGAACGATTTACTTAGCCCACCATAGACCCGTACGCTACTATAAGTAGACAGGTACATCGACTGCAAGTTTTACATACCTCGGCGGCATTCCTTTGCGAAGCAGCGACCCTGTAAGAGCTTCACGGTCAACTGAATCGAAGGCTCCTTTTAGGTCAAGGAACGCTGCGATTGTTGGCCGACCATGTGTGTGATTTAATTCGAGGACTTGACGTAGAGTGAAGATCTGGTCGATGCACCCACGACTTGGTCGGAATTCGGCTTGCTGTGGGCGGATATTCATCTCCTTCAAGGGTGTCAGGCGGTGAAGTATCACAGAAGTCAACACTTGTGACCATCGAAACCGAACTAATTCCGCGGTGGTTAGCGCTTTCACCGATCCTCCAAGACGGAATGCTCAGAGTCAATTGTTGATTGGAATCCAGTCGAGTATCGCTGCTCCTGCACGTACACTAAATGCTATCGCCACACCAGCCTGACCGGCGACCTCTGCCATCGGATCTACGGAGGCGGATGGTGAACGAGCTTGTAGAATCCAGAGACTGATACCTGGATACCCTCGGGTTAAGCAGAGCCGAATGCTACCACGAGCGTCCCTGGGTTGTGGATAAGGGGATAACTTCACCGAAGAATATATATATATTTAATGCGGGAGAAGGTTACCTGTGAATAAGTTGTGGCATACCGCAACAAATAAGCAGTCGCGAACAAACAGCGGAGTCACTATCAGAGTGTGGTGCATTTCAGGCTGGTCACCTAGCTCTTGTTTAAAAGCCGCATAAGCCCAATGAAGGTGTCATGACAAAATGATGTGACTAGCTTTTAAAAATTACAGTCATTGGTTCGGTTCGGTTCTTACAACCATTAACCATGCACTTTCGTGCGCCCGTTTTGGTTGCCCATTTGGATAAAATAGCAGAATGATGATTAGAATGTTGAGAGCAGATT